GAAGACAATCCCTTACCAGAATTAGAGGTGCTGAGGAAACATCAAACTCCTGTTCTGGTGACAACTTCCTAAAGGAACCTCTCTTGGTAGAGACTTCCTCACTCCTGTTGTCTCTAGGGCAGGAACTGTTGGGAGATCCCGGCTCTACACACTAGACTATGAAGGGGCCTGTGCTGGCTATGACACTAGTATCTCCTGAGTCCTTGGTGAGCAGAGGTGGTCTTTAGGTATAGACCAGCAGGTTTTGGGAGAATGGGTTGAGACTCCTGAGGGGGCTGTTACTGGCAGTGTTCTAAAACCACTTTTCTTCTGATAGGATGGAAAGTACCTGATGGTCCTGCTTCTGGAAGTCATTGTGAATGGGACAGTTGAGCAATACAAGATGGAGAAGAAATGCCCAATACAGAACGGTAACAAGTGATATTTTTTTGTAAATGGGGAAACCTAATGTCCTATAAACCATGAGCACTATGTAGCTTGCTTGTCACTTCTTGGGGTGGTCACTAGGACAGAAGCTGAGGGGAGGTACAAATCCCCTATTATAATCCTATTGAAATCCAAGAGATTTATTGGACTTTCCACTCCATTTACAGTATGTAGATTTACATAACTTTCTCTTGTTTAGAAGCTATGGATGCCCCAAGCCCCGACATCTGCTCTGCTGTCAGCCAAGAGGACAAACTGGCCTGTGCTGGAACACCTGTAACCAGAGACATCTGTGATGCGTTGGGATGCTGCTACTCCCCAAATGATGCCAGAATGCCTTGTTTCTTTGGCAACATGTGTAAGTGGGATATTGCTTGGCCCAATAAAGGTGGGAGGGGGTCAGTATCGGCCTGTAGGGAAACAACCTTTTGACAGACTCTGGCAGGTAAGGTTGGCAGAGCCTCAGCAATGGCTACAGACATGCGCTCAACACTTGCACTTTATGATGGGTGACCTGCAGTCCAGTCTGGAATGAGTTTGGCTGGACTATGTAAGTGGAGTTTGCAATGGGTTACCTCAATGGTGACATAAACCAAAATGGTCTTGGCTTTTCTTGGGTCTTTTAGCCCTGTTGGTGACTAAACCACTCTTTACCTTTTCCAGGCCCTACCAGTTTTAAGACCTGCTTTTAGGGTCTTCTTAATTGTAAAATGTTGTGCTCTTCCCTGTAACTTAACATTACCACGCAGATGTGAGGTGACCTCATTCAGAAATGGACGAGTGTCCACAATACAGTGTCCAGATGAGACTTTCTGACCTGATCTTCATAGTAACCATCTTCTGTTTCCTACAGTGACCACTCAGTGCGCAGTTGATAACAGCATGGTGATTGCAGTGTCCAAAGATCTGACCAGGCCATCCCTGCTTCTGGACTCGGTCTCTGTGATTGGTGTGGACCCTACCTCTTGTCCTGGGCTGTCAGTAGCTAGAAGTAACTCCTTTGCAGCATTCAAATTCCCATTATCCTGTAGTAATGCCGATCAGGTGGGTATTCCTATACAGTCTTAGTTGGTGGGTTTTTCTGGCCCTCACAGCATTGGTAAAGACTAACAGTACTCATTCCCTTACATGCATATGGAATTCAATAGTAAAACAAGGACAGATCTTGGCCCAAACCCTTGACTTGAAGCATTAGTTGATCCTGTTATCCTGTAGTAATGCAGATCAGGTGGGTATTCCTATACAGTGTAAATTGGTGTGTTTTTTCTTTTCCCATGTCTGGCCCTCACAGCGCTAGCAAGACTAACAGTACTCATTCCCTTTCATGCATAAAACAAGGGACTGAGATCTTAGACCAAACCCTTGACTTGAAGCATTAGCGGATCTAATTCAAAACTACACTTATGGCTTCAATTCTAGTATAAGATGTAATAAGGGGGTTCTAATACATGTCAGTGTTTTTGCTATCTGTCCTATTTGGGAGATTTCTCCACTTGCAGTCTGGTAGTCACAACGGGAAGTGAGTAAATTCCACCATGAGGGAGTCCCTGGTGGAGACGCTAGTTCTGGTGACCATTGGAGGATTTCCCATCTAATCTGTTCTAATGGGAACGTGACTCTCCCTAATAGGGGACAGAGATGGCAATACAAACTTGATGGGTGTTCTACTCCTGTTCAGTTTCAATTCTAGTTAGGGCTTTCTCTTAAAGCTCAATATGGGTTCAATTTCACTGCCCAAAACAGTTAAGATGGTGGCATAAGTTTTAACTTCTGAGACTGTTTTTGGGGTCATAAGGCTGGCTTCAAAATGTCATCCAGTGAAGTATAAACTGGTAATCAAATACTGCCAACATTCCTCTAGAACCTGCTTGATACACTGAACAGTCGAGTTTCTTGTGTACAGAACAAATGGCGTCAAACGCACCTTGGAAGCGTTCCTTGTGAAGGGGCACAAGCCAGGAATTGGGATCCTACTGATGTTGGATGGGGTGTGTTGCTTCAAAGGGAAGCTGACTGCCTGGCTAGCTCTAATCTCTTCACTCTTCTACACCCCAGGTCCCTGATGGTCCAATGAACTATGAGAATACTATTGAAGTTCCAAGAACCATAGATACATGGCGGGGTTCTTCTATCACTAGGGACAGTATAATGAGGTAAGAGATGAGCAAACCTGCTACAAGTAATGGGAGAAGGAATGGTATCTAACCCTCTACTGTTTATCTAGGGTGACTGTGCGCTGCAGGTACACTCAGACCGGCATTGCACCGCTGGCTGTGACTGTGCATACCTTGCCGCCACCTTCTCCTGTTAGTACATCTGGCCCCCTCGAGCTGGAGATGAGGATTGCACGAGGTAAGAACATCAGTTTTTAAGACATTGTTGCACAGAATGCCAGAAGCTGGCCTACATGCTTCCACTGATCTGAGAACTTCAGTTCATATTGGTGTAATGCAAAATTCCCAATGTTGTAAAGAGCGCAATACTACCATCTGTCACTGGGGTGCCAGGACTGCAGCTTTGGCAGGACATCAAAGGGTGGCCCTTAACTTCAAGTCTGAATTTGTGACCTGTCAGAATATAAAGTAACGGCGTTTCAGAGCATCAGGTCATCATTAATGCAACTTATTCTAAATCACTGAACTCGGATCCATTCCCTGTGTCCCTGAGCCCAGCTCTTACTATCAAGCATAGACGCTGGGGAGCATGTCCCATCTACAAGGGCTGCTTCCTTTGGCTCATTCAAGGTTTCTTGTCCCAGCTGAACATCACATTTACTGGAACATGTACCAATGCAAAAAAAGGACATGGGGGGGGTGTGTCCCCCTTAAAATCTATACCAGACCTTTATCCACTGGACAGTACACAATGGGAAAAAAACCTGCGTACTGTTCCTTTTTATGGAAGACATTTTATGGGTCCTCATAATACTCCTGGGACTATCCCTGACTCACGGCATCAACTGGACCCAGGACATATCCCACTAACAAGTGCTGGAACACTCATTCTAGCACCCAACAGCAACTCTGAGAACACTGTCCGGTGGAGTGATCTCTTGCCTGACAATACTATGTTCTAGTGATGGGAGGCATGGGAGCATCAGACTGAATAATGGGGTGGAGCACTAACCTTTTATAAGGGGCTGAGGGGAGGGAGTGTCTGGCTGTTCCTGTCTGGTGCTGGGGGATAGGAAGGGAGTGGGGAATTCCTATGAGGGGCAATTCAGTCTTTACTCTTCTCTCTGAGCAGTATTCTGGGGTATAGATCTAAAGATGATCCAGACCTCCAAAATGATGTAAAATCCAATTTTTTTAATCACGTTGTTGCAACCGGTTAACATCCCGAGCGCTACACTTAGGGTTGCCACCTGTCCAGGATTCACCCGGACAGTTCGGGTTTTGAATGCTGTGTCTGGGTTTCATGGCAGCAGAAACCCAGACGCAAGATGTCAGGCAGCTAAGGGAAACCAAAATTAAGATAGGGGCTACTGGCCCAGCGCTGAAAATAGTCTCAACTGTGATATTTACATAAGAATGGGCGGCGCTATTTACATATGAATAAGCCACGATTCATTCTCCCAAAAAAATTTCAGCGCGTCGTTTGTTCGGGTTTCGGTTGAAGAACAGGTGGCAACCCTAGCTACACTCCCTCTAAGTGTGATTTTTGGGGTATTCACTGGTTATAAGGCTTTTCAAATGAATGAATAGGACTGGATTTCATCTTGGAAGTGGGGTCTGTGTGCACAGCATATCATGTGACCACTCTGTGGTTTGGACAGATTTAGCTTAGCCGAGGGGAGGGGGGTGCTCCGAGATGGAGAAGCTGACTAGATCACAAGCCTGGAGGAGGCCACATGTGGACGATGGAGGGGTCTGGAACTGATGGTGGGAAGAGAACCAGAGAAGCTGGACTACTGGAGGTGCTTGGTCAACTTTCTTGATCACATGTCCCTTCACTGGCTAAGGATCTGCCCCTGAGACTGAAATGTCAGCACTCCCTGCCTTTGGGGGTCCACCTCAGGCCTCTAGGGGGTCAGGGGGGCACTACAATATATTTTCACACTTATTTAGTCAGGAAGCATCAAAAGCCATGGCCATGTGCAAACAGCAGTGATGCATGGTGGGTGGCAGAGATTGGTTATGTACTAGTAAACGATCTACTGATACCTACGTGACCTCTCGGGATCTGTCCGGTCTTCTGCAATGGGCAAACATGAGACAATCACAGGTTACTAGTTCAGTCTTGATGTGGGACGAAGTCACCTCCTGACAGTGACAGATCATCTCTGGATCCCGGTGTACTCTCCTGTCTCCACACGACTTCCACATTATATTACGGGTGTCACTATCACAATCACGGTTTTATTAATGAACCTCTGGACAAGTCTTATGGATGGTGACTGTCACAAGCCCAGGCTGAGATTACTCGTCTTCCTCAGTATCAGAGCCATGCATTGGAGTGACGGGTGTTACCATAAGGGATGCACCGATATCAGTGTCACGAGTATATGGGAAAATGCCCGGAGACTAATTGCCGATAATGGTGCTTTATCATTCTGAAGTGGCTGCCTGAGGTCCTGGGCCTGCTGGGGGCCCCTGCAGCCTTCCTGTAAACCACGTGGCACCTGTTTAAAGCGCCAGCCGCACATCTCCTTGCTGGGTAATCCCACAGCCCATGAGACCCCGCACAGCCCTCCTGAGATCCTCCACTGGAGACATCAGGCCGGCCTCCGCAGAGCAGCACGGAGTATGTAGCTTCATATTATTCTGCGTTGCTGTATAATGTATTGCTCGGATTTGTAGTCCCTCTACAGCTTGGAGTCAGTAGCCGAACTGCATTGCAACAACGCCAACGACCAAGAGAAGGTCACGTGACTCTATTCCCAGTGAGATACGGGGCAAGGCTGAGCGGCCTGGGAGCCCATTTACACTGTGGTGTTTTATTGCACACATTACATGATGCTGAACGCACGTGTCCAGGTTCCCTATAATAACAATAGGACCTGTTCTCATCTCAGCACTCACTATGACGCAGCGTGCGTTTTTCTCTGCATTTTAGTGCGTCGGGAGGCCGATAGAAGTCAATGGCAAAGCAGAAAAATCCATATTCAGCGCGTCAATACAACGTTCACTTTGATGGGTTGGAAGCCGTGGTCAATGACTGTTGGCTCCATCCAATCCAAACCCTAAATTCAAAACACATCAATGCATATTAATAATCCATGTCAACACACAAAGGAAACGCATGTTGACGCATGACAGCACATCTATGTAATGCTACCAAAAAATAACGCACTTTGACGCACATGCATATATCTAAATGGGCCCTAAATCTTGGTGGGATGGTAGGAGAGGTCCTTGCACTGTGATGGAGCGTCGTCTGACCCCATGTGACCTAGTTAGCATTCCGCGAGATCTCGCCAAAACAGTGGTGACGCCACACCAGTAGGCGGGGCAGTATGGTAGCCGGGGGTAAGGGAAGTCCATCTATACTCATTTTATAAAGGCACAGTCCACCTTTTAGGTAATAAATGCACCGATGGGGGTAAAATAAATAAATGTGCATTCATTAAATGTACGCATTCAAGCCTGCAGAGCATTGCAACTGCGATCAGTGCGTTACAAGTGCAATGCTCAGGCTCCTGTAATATGAACCCCCAGCCCCCAGTCCTTATGGAGGTCCTTATGGTGGTAGGGACCTTCTATTATGGG